GGAGGTGGTGGGTTAAATATTCATTCAAGAGGTTTTTGGACTGTTTTTTGAAAGTTTATTTTCAAAAAGGGAGAGATTTAGGGAGAGGGTTCCCGAATGCAGGGCAAGGTAGCTGAAAGATTGCCCACTGATGGTGGATATGAAGCAGGCCTGAGTTAGCAGAACAGACCTTGCCCCAGTATATCATTGAGATATACGGGGTATTTGAAGGTAAGAATGAGGATCTTAAAACAGATCCACTAGAGAATCAAGAGCCAGTAGAGTCTGATGAGGAAGGGGATGGTGGGATTTTGTAGCCTAATGTGGAAAAGAAAGTAGACTGTGGAATTTTTAATGATCTGGAGCTTGTAGAGGATATAGCTAGGAAAGTTAATGAACAGGCCATTCAGAAGTAAAGTCTGGAAGTGACTAAAGCATGATGGAGGTTTTTGGTTGCATTGGGGATGAGCTACAGATAGAAGGGGATGTTGAAGAAATGTGGACATGGTCAGAGACTGGCCAATAGAAAGCTTAAAATGGAGGCAATGTCGTCAAGGTTAGATGTATTTTACCTCTGCAGTACGTTGTTTGGCTCGAGCACCTCCACACCTACCGCCTCTCCCTTTCATAGGCCCAAACTAACTTTTACTCCAAAGTCACCCTGAAGGCCAAAAACAACCCAGACACTTTTCCACCGCCTTATCACCTCTTCCGTGCAGCCCTCAAGCTCCCTCTATCCTCACATCAAACGCCAAGTGCGAAGAGGTCCCAAGATTTCTTCGCCTCAAAGATTGAAAACAACTGCTTGGTTGCATTGTTCTCCTCCTTCCCCTTCCATGTCCTCTTCCACCCCACCTAGACCATTCACACCGCCTTCCCCCTCTGCCACGGTTCTTGCCACTCCCCCCTTCTTACACTCCTTTGCCCCCATTTCTCCCTCCTCCCTCTCAAACCACAATCACCTGCTATCTCGACCCTCTCCTCACCCAGCTGTTGGTCACTCAACTCCTCCTCCTCTCCACCTGCTGATCGACACGGTCATCCTCAGGCTCTGTTCCACTCCCCCTGAAAACCGCTGTTACCACACCCCTCCTCAAAAAAACCACCCTCGATCTCTCTAATCTCTTGTACTACCATCCCATTTCCAAGCTACCCTTCGTTGCCAAAGTCCTAGAATGCATTGTCACAGGTCAACTTGGGTCACACCTCTTCCTCTTCGAGCCCCTGTAGTCTGGTTTTCATCCTGCACACAGCACAAACAACGTCCTCTCTATCTGTCCAGGGCTCCCTCTGCCTCCTTGTCCTCCTGGATCTCTCTGCCACGTTCGACACGGTCAACCACGCCATCGTCTTCTACCACCTCCTCCCTCATCCACCTTAGTGGGACCACACTCGCATGGTTCGAGTCCTGCTTGGCCAATTGCCTCCACTTCATCTCAGCAAATGGTTTCTCCTCCCACCCCTACCCGGTCATCTGCGTGGTACCCCAGCGTTCTATCCTTGGTCCTCTTTTTTTCCTCATCTAAACACTCCCTTTTGGTGATGTCATCTGTAAACTTCCATATGTATACGGAAGAAACATAAATCTATTTTGCTTCCTCCAGTATTGACTCCAGGTCTGCCAATGCTCTATCAGCTTGTCTGGCAGACATAGGGCCTGGATGAGTGTAAACTTCCTTCAGCTGAATGTGGACAAGATGGAAGCCATACTCCTTGGTGCCCGTCAACATTTCGGAGTCAGGCTCCACCACTGTTAAACGTTCTGAGACGCTACCCTGCGTGGAGGGCGCTATATAAGTTTTTGTTGTTGGTGTCCCCGGATTGACTTATAGCATTCTCTGATTAAATATTGAAAAGAAAGCGTGAGTTTTTTAAAAAAAACCTTGGAACTATTTTGCAGATTGAATAGTGCATCAAATGATAGTAATTAGAAGCAATAATCAGCACTACTCTTTGTGCTTTTCTTCATAGATGTTTTAATTTATTAACAGAGTCAGCTGGTACTTGAAAAATCTGTAAGACCAGAAGTTTCAGCAGGTGGATAAACCTTTCCCTGATTGTTCTGTGCGTCATTTACAGTGCAACAGCTTTTGATCACATTTTTCTAAATTTCAATGTTGTTTATTTGGCTTACAAGTGTAACTTTTGCTTAAAATGCTGGGGAAAAAACATTAAACAATTAGGGGTTGACTCTGTATTGCTTCAGTTGCAAAGAGAGTCCCAATTTCTGAGGGAAACTGCACATTTCTATAGTGCAAATGGATGGCAGCCAAATCAAGATTTGGTGTCGCGATGAATGCTAACAAAAAAATATTAAGGCCCTTGTTAGGATTATGAAGAAGATCTAACTGCAACGAAGGGTAAGATTGCACTAAAATGTCACATGGATGTAAATGTCATGTCCAGTTGCTCCCTCTTCGTTCTTCAAAATAACAGGTTAAAATACTGAATTGGGGCAGTCTGCACATTCATTGTGGGTTTTGGTGACCTGTGGGTTTGCACTGATGAAAGGGGCCGCTCTTTGGCAACGCTTTTAAACTTTGGAGAACGTACTTATGCTGTTGTGAATGAATGTTCGGCTCAGTGGTTTTCTGGGCATTATTTATTATTCAATGAGGGATGGTGGGTAAGATACTTGTTAGATAGAATAATATAAAAATACAATAATATAAAAATAATCCGTTTTATTCTGGCACAATATCTCTGATAGTTTTAGCTTCAATCATTTCAGGTGTTGCATTTTAGATCAGGAGCTCAAAAATCTGAACTGAACCCTTGTACATCTTGTCATGTATATACTGCCATATAGTAATGGGGAGGTTTTAATTATTTTGGCAATATTTGAATAGATGTAACAAAGTATTCTTTGTGACCTTTTTTTCTGTTTTGCAACACAAGATCAAAATATAGAGTTATATATCATGCATGACTCTCATTTAACTGTTGCAATTGTAATGAGGAGAGAACCAATTGTATCCAAATCTAGTTAAAGTATGTTTAGTAACTACAGTATCAGTGCTATGTACGATGGTTTAGCAAAATCATGAAAGGTCCCTGTGAAGCTTGGCTTCAGCACCTGTTAGATATAATTCAACTCCCAACTACTGCTTAATCAGTGCATTATTCATAGCAATTAGACAAAGTTATTCATACAGTACTGCCGCGGTAACTGTAGGATATGTAATTTATTCCACAAGTGGGAAAGACTTGATCAATCGTGACTTTCCCTTATGAATTTTCTTTCTTCCTTGCAAGTAGAATAAATGATCTATTTCTCTATTTTCCTTAAGTATTGAGATTTTACAGGAGAAATAATTAGAAGTTTTTCTACAGTGAAGAGTTTGGGATGCATAGAATGTCTAACATAAATATTTCCTTTGCTTTGAGTGAAGAAAAATAGCAACAGGCAACCTCAGGTTCCATGTGTAGAAAATTCATTTGTATAAAATTCCCTAGCTACATTTTAGTTCATCAAATATTTCTTCTCAAAGCTAATGTTAGTCTTCTCACCTACTAAGATATTTTTCCAGGGCAGAGGGAAATATCTCAAAATATTATCTAATGCAGAGAGCCTCTTTAATAATAAACTTTGCATTTGATATGATGCTTATGTCGTTTCGCATGCCTTTCATGGTCTTTCAATGTCCCACAAATGGCCATGAAATTAATGACCAATTTTATTTGGTGGATTGTTGACCAGGATCCTGGGAGAAACACTATTTTCTTTTCAAAAAGTGCCATGGGATCTCTCATGTCCCCCTGAATAGCCAGATGAGATGGACCTCTGTGAACATCTCACTCAGACATAGGACTTCAACAACAACAACAAATTATATTTGTTTAGTGCCTTTCAAATCAGGAAGGTGTCCCAAGGCGCTGGACAGTCTGGGATCTGCAACCTTCTGACTTGGAAGCTAGAGGGCTACCACTTGGGGCAGGCTGACACTTTTGAGGACAGTAGAGGATGGCAAAACAGATTTGATCTTGATCTTCAGCTATCTTCATGATCTTCAGATACATTAGGTACAAATTTAAGTAGGGTAGTAAATAGTGAGGACTGTAACCAACTGCAAGCAGACATACACAGAACGGTGGAATGGGCTGACATGTGGCAGATGGATTTCAATGTGGATAAGTGTGAGGTGTTGCACTTAGGTAGGAAAAATGATAGGAGGCAATATAGACTTGGTAGCTCAATCTTAAGGGAGGTGAACGTACAGAGAGATCTGGGTGTTCAAGTAAACGAATCATTAAAGGTAGCGGGGCAGGTAGCTAAGGCAATAAAAAGGCATTTGGTGTACTGAGCTTTATTAGTAGGGGCATAGAGTATAAGAGTAGGAGGTTATGGTTAATCTATACAAAACACTGGTTAGGCCTCAGCTGGAGTACTGCGTCCAGTTCTGGGCACCTTACTTCAGGAAGGACATTAAGGCACTGGAAAGGGTGCAGAGGAGATTCACGAGAATGATACCAGGAATGGGGAACCTTAGCTATGAGGACAGGCTGGAGAAGTTAGGACTTTTCCCATTAGAGCAGAGAAGGTTACGCGGGGCCCTGATAGAGGTCTTCAAGATCATGAAAGGTTTCGACAGGCTCGATAAGGAAAAGCTGTTTCCGCTGTGGTCACAGTCTTAAGGTATCTACCAAAAGAAGCAGAGGGGAGGTTAGAAGAATTTTTTTCACTCAGCGAGTTGTTCGAATTTGGAATGATCTGCCTGAAAGGGTAATGAAGTCTGATTCGATAACAGCTTTTAAGAGAGAACTGGATAGGTATCTGGGGAAGACGGGTTTGCAGGGTTATGGGGAGAAAACTGGTGATTGGGGTTAGTGAAAGTGACTTGCTCTGTCAAAGAGCCGCACAGACTCGATGGGCCGAATGGCCTCCTTCTGTGCCATAACATTCTATGAATCTATGAAAAAATTACTTGTATTTTTACATGTTTTTTACTTGTAAAACCTGGTACAGCGCACTGTAAAAGTAAATGTTCATGTGGTTGATATTCCAATTTTTTTTAAAACAGGCATTGGATTTGGACAAAAATGCACTACAGAAAGTGAAGAAATCTGCAAAAGCAATAAACATTTCAGTTCAAGGTATGTTTCAGTTTTGTATCCATAAAGCTCAATAGTGTCTTTGGCAAAGCACCTAATTTTCCTGATTATTGTTTTTGTAAATTTTGTATATCCAAAACAATGTTTATTTTTAACTTGTGCAAAGAAATTAGTTATGAAAATCAAGCAAATAATATGTAAAATTACAGAAATCTAAACGAGGGCAGTCAGTGTATCTTCACATTGCTTCTCAGGAAAGAATAAGTTCGAATAGTTGTAGTTCAAACTGTAGTGCAGTTCTTTGTAATGTTTCTTAACAGTATCGAATCCTTGTTAATGCAGTTTTGGTGTGGACTCCAATCACTGCTCATGCATGCAGTCAGTTCATCCACTTCCACATACCAGATAGCTCTCGCGCTGAAATGGGTGATTTCCAGGTCATCACTTGGGCCAATAGGTGCTATAGGTCTAAAGAAAGGTGCTATCGGCATATATTTCCTGAGTTTGATAGATTTCTAAAGGATAAAAGAATATGGGGTTTAGGGCGGGTAAATGGAATTAGGTTAGATCATCAGCCATGATCTTATTAAATAGTGGGGCAGGCTCGAGAGGCAGAATGGCCTACTCCTGCTCCTAGGTCTTATGGTCTAATAAAAAAGTGCAGAAATATTTGCTAAAAATTGTGGGGCATTTGAGAAATTTTGCAGGAAATTGTGGCAAAGTTTGGTAAGTTTTGCGGAAAATAATGGAGAGTTCATTGGTGCTATTGAGAGTTGCATTTTGTGAAACAACCTGGATTAAAAAAACAACAAAATTACATTTGTAAAACACCGAAAGGCACTCAAAACACAATTATTTTCAAAATACTAAAAATGTTAATTTGAACAGTACAGCACGTACCAAGAATTGGTTGCCTGAGCTCAGTTTAGGCCACGGGTGCCGGGTGAAGACGAATTCCTGTTTGTACTGCTTCCGCCATACCAACACTCCCCGCGTTGTGCATGCAAGACAGGAGTCACTCCACCCACAGTAGCAACATCGAGCAACAGTGCGAGAGGCCCGGGGCCTAGCTCATTGTGTGTCCAGGTTTGTAGGGAGGTTATTTTTAGTGGATTCCATGGAACAGGTGCTACTGCACTTTTCAATTGGCCCAGGTCATCACTTCCTGCTTTATGCATGCACAGTGCACACAAAATTATGTCAACTGCAACCAAATGATCCAAAAGTCGGCCATTTCAGCTTCTCAATGCCAGTTAATGTTATCTCTCTGTGTGCATGTGCAGTGAATGCAAAAGTCCTGACAGATTATTCATGGATCCCAACTGCTGTTGTAACTAGATTCCACTGTATGTATGGCTCAGTCCACCGGCTGCATTGAAGTATGCATGTACAGTATAGATTATTGATTAAATCGGATTTAATACAGGGTTGTCTGTAACACATACTTCACACATGTCATATTAAATGTTATGGTCCTGACCAATACAACTAATGTGAGTTTTACTGTCGTAAACTTCCTCTGCACTCCCTTATCAACAATGCATTGGAGTTATATTGACCTGCCTGATTCAGGAACCAAACTACTGAGACAATCACAGAGGATCAACTTAATTTTGATATTCCATTGCCAGGCATGTTGCATCGGAGCCAGCTCAGCCCCAAAATGATGCCTCTTACTACCATCAAGGAAGATAGTCATTAGTTAGTCATTATGCACCTGCCAAGCACACGCTTAAACCTTATCCGGGTGGATATTTGGATCTAATTGGATTGCTTTCTAACTCTTTCTAACTCCCATTTTAATATTAACGGATATGAGAAAATGTAATTAAGATTTGTTATAATCTAGTAAAATGGTGAAATAGGCACAGTTGGCTGAATTGCCTATTGCTGTTACTATATTATATTACTATTAATTGCCTCTCTTCCCCTTATCAAGACTTGTTGGGGGAGTTTCAGTTTTATACTAATGAAGGCAGTGCTTACCCACAATCTTCAGCGTGAATGAAAATACGTGTTTATTTTTAAATATATTTTTAATTATAGAGCAGTATCATTCTCATTAAGGTGAATAGGTAACCTGTCTACACTGCCTCAACCTGTAGAAGTAATGGGAGAGAAACAAAATAAACAGAAAAAAATAAATTAAAAACTGAGCATGAATAGAGAGAAAATTTCCTTTATACAACTGAAAATAGGTGGTAAGGGGCATCCTTTGGAGACTGAGCTGGCTCCAATGCAACATGACTGGTAATTATATGTTTCCAGTTTGGGTACAAACCCTCAACTACCCATCGCCTTGGGACATCCTTCCGATGTGAAAGACCTAAACTTGTATAAAGGCAAATATTGGAATTCATAATGCTTGCTGTTAACATCTTTGTATTTTGGGGAAAGAGCCTGTTAGTTCAGTTATTGGCAGAATGTATGCCATCCTCATGGTTGAAGTGAGTACATTTCTTTGTTTTGCTTCTTTTACAGAACATGTGCAAAATGAAGAGAACTATGCACAAGCACTGGATAAATTTGGTAGTAATTTTTTAAGCCGTGATAATCCAGATCTTGGAACAGCTTTTGTTAAATTTTCCACTCTCACCAAGGAACTCTCAACATTGCTGAAAAATCTGGTAAGGGTTAAACATTTTCCTCCTTCATTGGGAAATATGATATCAATCTAGCTCAATTGGTAGCTGACGCATTTCTGAGTCAGAAGGCTGTGGCTTCAAGCTTTATGTTATGACTTTGCGGATGCTAGGCGGGCAATCCTGTGCAGTGTTGGGTTGTACTGCATTGTTGAAGGTTCCAATCTTTGCATGAGATGTTAAATCGAGATTCTGTTCGGAGCTGCCCCAGAACTGTTTTGGATGAGTGGTTCTTTTTGGGGTTTAGGATCCATTTGTAAACCTTGAATCCCTAGCCCTGACATTAATAATTCCTACTTGCAACAGGACAGTTTAAAAATGTCACTGACGACAAGTCGTGCTTCACTGACTAAAATATGCTCCAAACTCTCCTGCAGTAAAATAAAATAATAATAATCCTTGTATTTGTTATAGCAGCTTTCAGGTCATCGCTTCACAGGAATTGTAAAGTAGATTGACTGTGATGGAAAGTTGCATTTGACTGAATGATCACTGGCACCGGTGTTGGTTAAATAACTTTATTACAGAGCTTCTGACCAACAATTACAGGTTCTAAATTCTCAACATTTCACAAAAGCCGCTCCGCTGTTTTATTAATTCACAGTAATTTTTGACCGGCCAAGACAAGTTGCTAACCACCTTTACAATCACCATCAGTTCTTGAACCAGAAGCTCATGCACACAGTTAAAATGCGGTGCAGCATTAGTGGCATTTTTTTTAGAAAAGCAAAACCCAATCTCCCAGCTACCAGACTAATAGGGGGGGAGATCTGATCCGGCAAAATGGATTTTCCGGCTAACTGCTAATCCTAATCCCTAATATTAACAATATATTTTTAAAATTCTCCCGAACATTTAAAATTAAAAGCTAAGTTTTAAATAAAATAGACAAAAGAAACAATAGTTTCTGATGTGGTGCAGCGCAATTGATGCCCTCAGCTAAACCAATCAGTATCAAGCTGTGGGCATCACATGGGTTGGCGGGAGTTTGAAAACATGCGGTGGAGTTTTGAATCACAGAATTGTGGAATTTGTATTCCGAATTACTTGGAGTTGTGACCTTTTGACACAATTTTGGGTTTCAAACCACAGGTTGAGAACCCTGGCCTAGAGTGTCCCAACGTGGGGCTTGAACTCACAACCATCTGCCTCAGATGACATGATGGCAACGTTTTATTTGGAAGTGAAAGCTGAACTTCTTTCAAAGAATGATTAAGTTCTTACAGTAGGCTCCTTACATTTTAATATTTGTTCTACATTGTCTCAGGTAAACTGACCAATTTAAGTAGCCATTGCTCAGATTATGAAGGTGTGTGATATTATATTGTAAAGTTGCATTGTTGCTTTAATTGCTATTGTCATTAATATCAAATTGTACTTTTCAGCTGCACAATCTTAGCCACAATGTCATCTTCACTTTGGATTCATTATTAAAGGGAGACCTAAAAGATGTCAAAGGGGTAAGTTCATGTATTTAATGAATTAATGGTACACCCACTAGATGCACAAGATGCCCACTGCATGCACAAGAGTGTTATAACCAAGAACTGCATTATAGCATTGCATTTAGGGTTGATGTCATAATCTTAAGTAATGGATGGCTTCAAATATTAGATATCGACGGGATTTCATGCTTTTTTGTAAGGAATTCTATTTATATAGCACTAAATGTTTTTTTAATAGAAGGGTTACATTAGGCTGAAACAGCCTTCGTCTCAGGAATCTGCAGTTGAATAATATGCAAAACGCTATTGTTAAAGCCAACTCCTTTTGGTAACTGTGACAGAGCTGCATGAAATAAGTCCTCCAGTAACAGATATGAATTTTGTTGTCCAGAGTCACATTGCTGATTCGTGGAAAATGGAAATACCACATTGATGGTGCAGAATTCTTCTGAGGTTTATAATACACAGGTACCTCACTCTGTATCTGGTTCATGCATACCAAACTTGAGATGAAGTTGTTAAAGAGAACCAAATATCAGAAAAGGGTTCTTCACTGTTTATCCCACACCTTCAAGGGAGCAAAAAGTAATTTAAGAATGGAATCAATGGTTTTGGATCACAAGAGGAGTTTGCTGCGACCAGGGCTCCCTGTGCCTCCTTGATCTCTCTGCTGCCCTTCACACCTTCGACACTGTAGAGCTCTCTATTCTTCTTGATCGCTTCTTCCCTCTCATTACCTCCGTGGCACTGCCTTGATTCCAATCAGTTCTACTTGATGATAATCCTTCTAATATTCCTTGCATTTGATATTGAACTGCATGTCTTTGAGACATCTCAAAGAGCTTCACAGGTAAAGATACTGCAAAGTGGATTGACTGTCTTTTGTGGACGAAACACTGCAGCCAGATACCACTACTTTGTTTCCTCCAATGGCTTTTCCTCCCTCACCTGCTCAATCCCTCACATGCTATAGTCTAAACAGCTAAAAGCGCCAAGCTTTTAGCTGGTTAGACTCCAGCAGTACTTCAATACACACACTGGGGTCCCCAAGCCTTGGTTCTTACCTACCTGTGCCTAATACTTTCCCAAATTAGGTAAGCAGTTGTGGTAAACCTCAGGGTTCTATTTGCTGTCTCCTGTTCCTTGTATACATATTTCTCCTTGGTGATATTATCTGCAAACATGGAGTTAACTTTCATTGCGGTGATCACAATGGCAAGTTGAATGGGTTTAGCTGGTTAAATGAGTCCTTGAAAGGGTCCCAAGCTTTGGCTCTTGCCAATCTGCATCTAAACTTTCGGGGATTAGGTAAACAGGATCGATCCTTCAGAAAGAGACGATTCACTCCACACCGGGTAAAGAGAAATTTCCATAAGTATGTATAACTTAGTAGCTTGATTTGGATACGGTTAACAACAACAAATTATATTTGCATAGTGTCTTTCACGTCGGCAGGACGTCCCAAGGAGAGAAGCATGTTGAAGGGATTCCGGGTGCGTCAGACACCTAGCTGACCATGCTCCTTTTTCCTGTAGTGGTAAATGGCTGCGCAGTTTAATTATCACCACCTACATTTCAAAGTAACGTGTGAATAGTTTTTAATTATCTTGAGTAATTAACAATAAACAAGTTGAAACCCAGTTTTCTAGAACTGACCTCCGTTTTCATTGTTATTAATCAATCATTTTATGGCTGTTTGTGAGATATTGCTATGTACAAATTGGCTGCCACAATCAGTTACAAAATGTACAGTCATTAGACATCAACAACAACAAGATTCCATTTCTAGAGCGCCTTTCACATCGGGAGGACGTCCCAAGGCGCTGTACAGTTGGGTCAGGACCCGAGCAGGGGGGAAATGGTCAGGGTGAGGGGAGGGAAGGGAGGGCTTCACAGGATTAAATCCTGTGAAGCCCATTGAGTTGTTTCAGGGATGTGATAAGACTCTATATCAAACACAAGAACTTTTTTTATTGTTCTAACACTTTGTTCCACAAATAAATTTGCACTTGTAATTTTGCAAACACACTTCCTAAATTTAGATGCGCTATAATAATAATAATCCTTGCATTTGATATAGGGCCTTACCACGTCTTTGAGATGTCAACGTGCTTCACAGATTATACTGTAAAGTGAATTGACTGTATTTTGTGGGCGAATTACACATAGCATTGTCTACAAACACTCGTGGGTTGAAGTGAGCAATTTATTTTTTGAAGGAATTATTACCCCCTGGAAAAGTGATCTGCCAATCGACTAACATCCGGATTCCTACTTACTGCTAGGTAGACAGAAGTGTGTGGAGTAAGGAAACTTGCCAAACATTTCGCCCTGCCCAGGAATTGAACCCAGGTCTCTCCCATGCGAGGAGAGTGCTCCAGCCACTGAGCTACAGGACTATATGGGGAAGCCTATTATATCAGTGAAGAAATCAGCCAGAGGGCAGGCACCTCCCCCGAGAAAGAGATTTTTACTGTGCTATTTTTGCATATCTTGTAGCATCAGCGAAAGAAATCTTAATTAGGGAATGTGTGATGTTATACACCGAGGACTTTTTATTACAAAAAAGATTTTTCTGAAGTATGCATTCTGTAAAGTAATAATTCTAAAATGTTTATTGATAAATTTATTTTTAATGAAACTATCTTTCATTTTCAGGATCTGAAGAAACCTTTTGACAAAGCATGGAAGGATTATGAAACAAAGTTGTAGGTATTTGAAGTGAAGTGTAAAAGTTGTATGGAATTTTTGTTTTAATTTTGTTGATTATCTGATTTTAGCATTAATGTATTGTTGACTGGCTGACTGACTTAATAAAAGTCAGCTAAAAATTGGGAATTTTAATAAACAAAATACAATCTCCATAAGTCTTGTTAGAGTGTGAATTCACTTTGAACATGGGTTCACGATGGATCCATGGTTACTGGAACTGTTAGTGCTAGAAACATGTTCGAGAGTGGTTGAAGCTGACCACCCCTGCAAGTCATTGCCACCATCTGTATTCATGTAATGTGATATCTAATTCTTTTTCGATCTTTTCAATAATAGTTGCCTTGTATGTTGTCATATTTCTGGATTATTTAATGTAGCTATATCTTGAGTAGAATACCATGTGAACACACACTGACTATCCACATTTCAGAGGTCAAGTTGTGAGAATGTTTGGTTGCATGCAAGGTTACCAAGTTCGTTATGTTTCCTAATCTTCAAATATCAGTGTCAGGTTGAGATATCCAGTGCAGTCAACCACAGGGTTAGAGATGCAAAAAGTGCATAGAGCCACATACATATACACAAACCAAGAAAGCCATGTACACAAACACCTACATACCCAGACTGAGAACTGATATCTGCTCTGTCTTCATATCCACAGCAGATTCCAAATTGTTACAGATATCGGGCTTTCGATTGGTTTGATATTTCCTTTTAATTTTAGGATTTTTTAATTCTACAGATCTTTTTGATAAATAAATTTGGTGCAAAACAAAGTGTTGGTTTGAGATCTCACAGAACAGCAATTTCTTGTTAATCTATTGTCGATTGTACTTCTAGTTTTGTGCTAAAGGATTTTTTTTAGTCCATTGTTCTTTCCAGAAAATGGGTTGTCTTATGACTTTTAAATATAACCAAGGTAGTAAGCAACATTGTTCAATGAAAAGCAACTGTGAAGACCATTTTGTTATTGCATATAAACTGAGGGAAAATTGATTTGACCTTTGTTAACAGTGCTAAAATTGAAAAAGAGAAAAGAGAGCACGCAAAGCAACATGGAATGATTCGGACTGAAATCACTGGCGCTGAAATTGCAGAAGAAATGGAGAAGGAGCGACGACTCTTTCAGCTTCAGATGTGTGAGGTTAGATATGTTCATGCTTTCTGTATATAATAAAAGCCTATTCATGCGTAAGGCACAAGTATATTTTGAGCATATGCCTGCTGGGCAGTGATGCTGGGACTGCAGTTAGCATTGTCGTCAATTGGCCATGTAGAGAAAAATTCCACTGAGGTCCTGCTTCGAACAGCTGCCAGTGTAAACATACTTTCCATGAGATGTCTTCAGGAGAAGGGCTGAAAGAATAAAATTTGGTGGAAGTGATTTTTAACACGTATCAATTTAGCTAAATCAAATCTTACTAAACAGCCCGTTTTGCATTTTGTAATCTGTTGGAACTCTGGCTACACAGTCATTTTGTTTAACTTTCATCAAAGAGGATCCAAGTTTATTTTTTCATGTGTTCAATCAATTTGGGCTATCTTGCAAATTTTGCATCATGCCAGAATGAAAGTTTGTTTTCTTCAAATCTAACTGTTGAGTCAACCTTGATTGGTAAGTTTTAAGAATGGCACTTGTTATGATATAGCCTAATTTGAAAATGAGCAACATATCTGAAATGCAAATTTAACAAAGTCGTTAAGGTGAAGGTGGTGAATCCTTGTGCTCTGAAAGTTCAATATATTTGAAAATATGTAATCACAACATGGCAGTGATCAGGTCAATTCATGAAGAAGGAAACCACACAGACAATGAATGAATTTGTCGTAAGCCGTGGGAACCTGGCAGAACTGGACAGATGAATGCATCTGCAGACCTTGAAGGGTTAATTTCCCCCCTACTGATTACATTTGTGTTGATTTGTTACCCAAATCTTTAAAGGATCTAAGAGGCTTAAAACCTGCAATGTTATCTAGACTTCAAAATAAATTTGTGCCAGAATTGATCTGATTTCCAACAAAAATGAAACGCAGTAGAGTATTTTACTGCTTGAATGATGTTTTCATTAGCTAGGGTAATCTGTATTGTACAGGGAAATGTGTTCTCATTGTGCAGCACCTTGAAGTGATTGTGTTCTGAAGGTGTTTCTGTGCTAATACAATTAACCATGTCATGTCCACTTAATGTTTTTATAAAATAGATTGTACCATTATTAGGTAATGTGGCCCAAACATAATTTGAAGTAAAACCGCATCAAGTCTTTCTTGGGTCACTGCAAGGGAAATTGTTTTGAAAGTTAATTATTATAATATTTTGCAGTTGATGATGATTTCTTCCAGATGTTAAACAGCCCAGGACCAGTTATTAACAGTTCACTAATATTTTATTTTTGTTTTTTCTTTGCTCAGTATCTCATTAAAGTAAATGAGATCAAGACAAAAAAGGGTGTGGATTTGCTCCAGAACCTCATCAAATATTACCATGCTCAATGCAAGTAAGTTAAGAATTCAAAAACTTTTCTCCTTTTGTTTTTGCTTTCTCCTTGTGCATGCACTTGTGCGTGTCTTTTTCCATAAAAATGTTTTGCGCTGGCATTTCAATTTTAGGAAAAATTGTGTGCCTTGTTACAACCTGTGACGATTTAGAAAGCTTTTCTCCGACTTCACGGCCTGACTTGCCCTCTATATTGTAGCCCAATACAGATAAGCATACAAACAATTGGCTGCTGCATTCCCCATACAATACATTTGATACACCTCATATAATAATAATAATAATAACCTATACTATATACGATGAAGCATTTTGAGATATCCTCGCAATGTGACAGGTACTATATCAGATGTAATTCTTATTAAGAGCACAGTTATTTAGCATGTGGATAAGTGGCAGTCCAGCTTAATGATTATCGAATGTTTTGCAGTTTTTTTCAGGATGGCTTAAAAACTGCCGATAAACTGAAGCAGTACATTGAAAAATTGGCTGCTGATTTGTATAATGTAAGTATTTTATTTACAACCTAAAGTTTATTGCAACACCAATTGAATGTGTTACATACTCAATTACATAAGTAGATGCCATATTGGTAAATTGTTTTTACTTAATCAGCAAAAAGTGGACTGATATGTTAAGTGTTTCTTGCTTGGCTAGTTTGGATTGTTACCAATTTCACAGCTCATTAAAACCAATATCCTCGTGTTTCCTTCAGTTAGAAGTGATTATTCTATTTTGTCCTCCTTGGCAAACAGAGTTCAAATGTAGTACACAGCAAGGTGACTCAAAGCTCCTCTTTCCTTGGGGCTTCCACTTTCTTGATGAGAGCTATAGTAAAACTGACGTGCTATAATCTCTTGAATAAGCTCTACCGAGTAGAACAATTGGTGAAAGCAAAAATGCATCATCAGAATAAATGTTGCATTTGAAAAAGGAAGATGACCAAAGGCACAATCAGAGAAAGAGGTGAGAGAGAGGGCTAGTCAGAAGGACACTAGGGATGGATTTCCAGAGAATGGGGACAGATAGACTGAAAGCACAACTACTGATGGTGGGGCAGGTAGGGTTGGATTGGGGGGGTGGACATGAAGTAGGATAGTGCCTGCTGATCATATCAAATGTAAAGTTTTTTTAATGTAAGTTGTTCAATAGGTTGTCATTTCAAATGTTTCCTTGGTAAGGAAGCCAGAATGTATTCCTAAAGTTAGCATACTGACTCCTAGACACCACAGGGTTCCTCTTTAAAGAATTCTGTTAGAACTTAACACATACTGTATTTTTTTAGAGGAATGTAGCTGTCTAATGGGGCCCTGATATTTTCATATTTTAAAATCTGGTATCCATGTATTAGTTAAGTTTATTTACTTCATGGCTGATTCTGGGACATTGCTGTGTGCAAACCGGCTGCTGTGTTTGCCCACAAAACAAAAGCAAAGAAGTTCTGCTAAACCTTTATAAGTCACTGGTTGGGCCTCAGCTGGAGTATTGTGTCCAATTCTGAGCACCACACTTTAGGAAGGATATCAAGGCCTTGGAGAGAGTGCAGAAGAGATTTACCAGAATAGTACCAGAGATGAGGGACTTTTGTTGCGTGGAGAGACTAGAGAAGCTGGAATTGTTCTCGTAGAACAGAGAATGTTAAGGGGGGATTTAATAGAGTTGCTCAACATTTTGAGGGGTTTTGGTAGAGCAGATAGGGAGAAATTGTTTCCACTGGCATGTGGGTTAGAAAGGGGTGACATAGATTTAAGATAATTGGCAAAAAAACCAGAGGGGAGATGAGGGGAATTTCTTTTTTACACAGAGTTATTACGGTCTGGAATGCACTGCCTGAAGGGATGGTGGAAACCGATTCAATAACAACTTTCACTAGGGAATTAGATAGGTACATGAAAAGGAAAAATTTGCAAGGATATGGGGTAAGTGGAGGGGAATGTGACTGATTCGGTAGCTCTTCCAAAGAGCTGGCACAAGCATGATGCGCCAAATGGTCTCCTTCTGTGCTGTAAAAAAATAATAAATTGGTCATTTTCAATCCACGACTGTTTGTGGGACACTGCTGTGCGCAATTGGCTGCCGCATTTCGCCCACAAATATACAGTCAATTCACTTTACAGCATATTCTGTGAAGCGCTTTGAGACATCTAGAAGACGTGAAAAGCGCTATATCAAATGCAAGGATTATTATTATAATATTCTATGATTCTGTTCTATGAAAAAAACAGTCACTACACTTTACAATCAATCCTTGTGAACTACTTTGAGACATCCTTCCAACATGAAAGGCACAATACCAAATGTAAGGATGGCTATAGATACGACCACCCTATCTATTAGTGCTCAGCAGAGTTAAAAATGTGTGCTTTCAGGTCTCATTGAGGAGCCAGATAGCCTATTCAACAATCTACAGTGCATTGGATTTCTGCATACCCTGCTGTCTTAAAACAATATTTAGAATACATTAGAATATATAGCACAGAAACAGGGCATTCAGCCCAACTGGTCTATGCCGGTATTATGCTCCACATGAGCCTCCTCCTGCCCTTCCTCGACTAAGCCTTCAAGCATAACCTTCTATTCCTTTCTCCCTCATGTACCTATCTAGCTTCCCCTTGAATACGTCTATGATATTTGCCTCAACAACTCCTTGTGGTAACATGTTCCACATTCCCACCACTCTCCTTGTGAAGAAATTTCTTGTAACTTCCCTATTTGATCTATTTGTGACTATTTTATATTTAAACCCCCTCTGAGCCAGTTGAGCTCCAGGAGTCAGTGCAATCTTGCAAACAGTGGCGTGGTTTCATTACGAAATTGATGAACTGAACTCCAGTAGTACTGCACATGGCATAGCTTGCCATTGAGAGCAATATCTACCAAGTTTTTCCACTGCTTGTCCAGTTTGGATCCCCCTAACCATTAGGGCCTTGGCTTGCAGGGTTAATGGGAGCTGAGTGAGAAGAATTGTTGTTCCCAGTGACAGGTCTGGCCCTCTAAATCTTGCTGATGAGCAGGCTTTGCTGGGTTGTCATCATCATTGACTGGCATACTGTGGACCCTTGTAGCTTGGAACCAGACTACCTTGTGGGGTTAATTGTTCTTAAGCAAAACTCTTTATCCGCTGTGAAATAATTCACAATGAGAAAACAAATGGCTCCCGTCCATCTCTGTCAGGAAAAATAAAGTTAAATTCTGTTTAATTAAATATAGTCATCATAGTAATCTCAGGGAGCCCTGACTCCTCCTTCAACTATTACAGAAAAAGTGCCAGATATTTCCTGGCGAAGTTCCGTTCATTTCAGTAGGGGTCAATTCTTTGGACCAGCCCAGAAGCTAATCTGATACCTTGGAAAACACTCGAACAGCAATACTTAGCATGTAGTGTTAGCAGCGACAGTGATGTTGTTTTGTTGTATACTTTTAGAATTCAGGAAATACTTTGAATAGTAGGTATTTCTCCAAATTTGCTTACTCTTTTAATTCTTTAGTTGCAATGCGATATATATCAAATTGCCCTTAAGTTTAACCCGTTTTGTCATTGATGTAGGTTCATAGAAATTTTACATTCTGCTACCAGGACATTTCAGTACATTTCACACGTGGTCTAACTTCTTCCCATGTTCTGTGATCTCTGTGATCTCACTTCTCCCTACCTCTGGAACATCCTTCACCCTTACCAACCCGGCCGTTCCCTTCGCTTGGCTGACGCTAGTCCCCTTCACTATCCGCCCCACAATCGGCGGAACTCCATTCCCTGGAACTCCATTCTCAGGTCCTTCTCCTCTTTCAAGCTGTACTCCAAAACATACCTTTTTGACTGCACCACCTCCCTCATCTTCCACCCTCAGCTCCGGTGCTCATGTAGAATTGTTCAGTGCTTTAGGATATCCTTCCGACGTGAAATGTGCTATAAAAGTGTAAAATTGTACTGTGTACCTTTTAATAGCTGACAAAAGACAGTTGAAAATGTTGGTCTCCACAGATAAAGCAAACGCAGGATGAAGAAAAAAAGCAACTCTGCACACTTCGAGACATGCTCAAATCATCATTACAACTTGAACATAAAGAGGTAGGTGTATCTGAAATATATTATTTATTGCTTTATCTCATAAAATGAACAAAATACCACAAGTTATAGGTGAGAGGGATAATAATGTGTTTCATATACCTAATGTATTATGCCATTTCTTCATTCTCTGCTTGTAAATTTAAAATAACTTTGACTTGCATAAAACTAGATTTGTCTCATAAAAGCTCTTGTAAACGTAGCATTAAGTAGATACATTGTTTTTCCCTAATGACACTTTGAAATACGAAGGATAATTGATTTGATTCTGTTTTCATACAGAATAGCATTTGTTATCTTACATTTTAAGTTTGTCATTATTGTTGAAGCTCTATACCCCCATCACACTGGTCCTCACCAGGCTCCACTTACTCCCTGTCTCAGAACGGATTGACTTCAAGATCCTCACACTTGTCTACAAATCCTTTCGTATCCTGGCACCTGCCGACCTCTCCAACCGATTGGCTGGCTCCAAACTCCTGCTTGTCCCTGCTTTCAGGCACTACACCCCGAAACTTTGGAATTCTCTCCCTCAATCCATCCACTTGGCCCCCTCCTTCCCCATTTTCAGATCATGCCTGAAGACCTTCCTCTTTGACTGTGCTTACACTACTGTTAAACGCTCCGAGACACTACCCTGCATAAATAAGCGTTCTAATTGCATTTTGTTGTTGTTGAAGATTGAACTATGAATATCCTATTGTTTAAAAATGTAATAGATGATTTTACTAAATAGGTTGGCCTAAAATATATCTGTAATGCGTCCCAATATCTTGAGTAATTTAGTTGCTATTTAACATGAAATATTTTCAAAGCAACTTTTATTCTCCACTCGTCCTTTTTTCTCCACTTCATGAGTGCCAGGAATCCTTGACACCTCACCCAAATGGTCATTTATTTTGTGTGATCCTAGGTGATGAGTTATGCAAACCATTCAACCATGGAGAGAGCCATGATTGTGGCTCACATTCATATGCACAGTTTTTACCAGGAGTCATTTGTAAGAGATTAGCAGCAAAAAGTCATTCTGATGTATTTGTTCCTTCTATCTTGGGCACTGAAGCCAATTTGTATCACTCCTGCTGCTATTGTGGCTCAGATAAAGTAATTCAGCATAGACCAGGGAATTGGTCTGCGTGGCTTAGTGACTCATCGGTAGGCCTTTATCCAGTAGGCCATCAGGGAACCTTCCGAGATTTTGTTTTGGGTCTCAAATGTAATTGTACTTAGTTAGAAATTTTTATTTTAGACGAACCATTTTAGTAAAAAATTACTAAGCTTGCTCACAACAGTGCTAGCCACCACTACTCCACAGATGGATCACGTGTAGCATTAACCGTACAGATCTGAAAGCTAAAGATTTTCTTCTCTAGTTTGCCCTTAAGTAGCTAACCATAGTTGGTTATTGAAGTTAGCTTTGGAATCGACATGAGTCAGGATTTCTGTTCTTAATTGCTATCCAGTGACTCAAGCATGAAAGTACATCTCAGCTGGGCACAGGATCTAATTTAGCTATGATTTTCTTCCTCTTTCCCCATGGTCAGGTACGTCACCAAAATTCATTCTCTACTCACATATGAAAATTGCACTTAGGCAAGATACCATCAACTCTTTTTGGTTGTGTGAATGAGACTGTCCCCGAGTTAGTCAGAATATTCAGGAGAAAAGAGAAAAAAAAAACTTTGTTTTTTCAGCTGTTGCTAAGTTCCACTTTCTCCCAACGGATCGACTTCAAGGTCCTCACATCCTCATCTAAAAATTAGTTTACATCATAGCATCTCCCTACTTCTGTGAGCTTCTCTCCTACCCAACTCCTAATTACCCCCTTGACATGACTAATTGGGGCCTGTTGTATGAAGGATGCTGTAAAAATGCAAGTTATTCCAAGTTAAATGCAACCAGCGCCTTGGGATGTCCTCCCGACGTGAAAGGCGCTCTATAAATGGAATCTTGTTGTTGTTATTGTTGTTTGGCTTGTTCTACCTTTACAGAGTGGAAAAATTCCCTTGTACATTTTACAATTCTACTTTTAGATTATTTTTAACGTAACTTATGATACAGTGTAGCCCCAGTGTGACATAATGTTTGAAATCTATGAAATGGATCTGCGCTATAATGAGCACGATAGCTTGTTTCATGCATTATGAGGTTGCCCTGTACAGTACTGTTTTTTCCCCATTAATTGTTATGAGTGTCATGATTGATCCCTCTTTATTTAGGAAAAAATTGCAAAACAATCCAATTATTTTGCTTTTCTATTTTTTAATATTATTTGAATGCTGATAATGCATTGGGAGAACTAACAAAAAGAATAACTGAGCCACTATGAGTAAGAGGAAAGGAAGAAAGGAACTCCCTTCTCTTTGCAAATAATGTCAGTCTGGCTCAGTTGGTAGCACTCTCGCCTCTAAGTTGAAAGATTGTGGGTTCAAGTCCCATGTCTGAACTCGTACAGTCTAGGATGACAATCCAATGCAGTGCTGGGGTTGTGCTATATTTTTGGAGGCACTGTCCTTTGCTGCCTCGGTTATACTGAGATCCCATTTGCCTGTTTTAGGTGGATATTATTCAAATACTATTTAAAAAGAGAGGGAGTTTCTCCTGATGTGCTGGCCAACAATCCCACAGATAAAATTGGTATATGGAATATATATGGTATATATGGAAGTTGACCCCATGTCTGCGGATGATGTCACCAAGAGGGAGCATATAGACATTGAAGAGGAGGGGACCAAGGACAGTGCCCTGAGGAACGCCGCACGAGACGGTTCGGGGCTAGAGGAGAAACTATTTGGGCAGATGAAGTGGAAGCAGTGTGAGAGGTGCGATCTGAACCAGTCAAGGATAGAGCTATGAAGGTTGAGGTGAGAGGAGAGGCGGTGGATGAGGATAGAGTGGTCGACGGTGTCGAAGGCAGCAGAGAGGGAGGATGAGGAGGCAGAGGGAGCCCTGATCGCAGATGGACAGAGTGTCATTTGTCACTTTGACCAGGGTTGTTTCTGTGCTGGGGTGGTACGGAAACCAGATTGGAGGGGTTTGTGAACGGAGTGGCTGGAGAGGAAGGAGCGAAGCTGGGAAGCAGCAACTCGTTCCAGGACCCTTGGAGAGGAAATGGAGGTTGGAGATGGGGTGGTAGTTTGGGAGTAGAGATGGGTCCAGGGAGGGTTTTTAAAGGATAGGAGTAATGACGGCCGTTTTTAATGAGGTGGGAACAGTATCAGTGGACGGAGAGGTTTATGATGTCTGTGACTAGAGGGACAAGGGGATGGAGCTGGGAAGTAAGGAGAGGGGTAAGGATGGGGTCGAGGGAGCCGGTGGTCAGTTTCATCCTTCAACTTAATTTCCTCTGACGGCTTCACCTCCAGTCTCTGCCTTGTTAACTGTGCTGTACCCGTGGGCTGTATCTTCGGCCCTCCTTTTTCTCATTTATATGTATATCCTTGGTGACATCAGGTATGGAGTAAATTTCCATGCAGATGCTAATGGCTCCCAAATCTATTTCTCTGCTTCTACCTTGATTCCTAGTCCATTGATGATCTAACCAGTTGTCTGGTCCTGAATGAGCCTCAACGTTTTTCAGTTCAATGTGAACAAAATAAAAGCCATCTTACTTGCTCCCACCAACACTTCCTTGCCTCTGACTCTGATCATCTCAATCTTCCCAGTTGCTCTCTTCCTGAGGCAATATAATTAACATATTAATGTTTTGACCCTCAGTTCTGTTTCCCGTTTTACCATGACTGCCTTTCTTCATCTTCACCACATCACCCATTTCAATCCCAATCATAGTGTATAGAGGAGTCACTAATAGCAACAATGGTTGTACACAAAAATATTCAATGGAAAAGATGTTTTTTCCCTCGTTCAGTGATCCCATCGGTGTAAAGTGTTTCAAGGTGTTTCAAAATGGTCTTCTAAAGAATTTCAAGCAATGGACCACAATATTCTTGTAGCCATCAGTCCCAGAGTATGCATGCAACGGTCCACTTTATTCCCATCTGAAAGTGCTATACTTGTGATGTCACTTAACAGTTAATGGTAAATGATATGTTTGAAAATAAGCTTCCATAGCTCTTGCAAAAGGACCTTTCTAGTTTTAAGAAGATTCAAGGATTGCGCGTCTGATCTTGATTCTGCTATTGTCAGTTAGTAAAAAAAACCTCAGTATTTTGGTTCTCCTAGTATCAGAGGTGCAGATTCATATTTTGACTCTTGTTGTCTGCCAGACATTTTTTTTATATAAACTTCCCCTTCTTTTAGATCCTCAAATAATGTTCCTTTGCTGAATGGTTGAGTAGTGTTCTTTTTAGGTGTCTGAATTTCAAAGAAAATCAACCTGAAGAAACTGAATCTAAAATTATGCAGAGCAGTGTTTGTTGTGTTAGTCATATAATCCTACAGGGGAATTGTACATATTGGCATTTTTTTAGTTTAAAATAACCTACTTATTTTCTTCAACCTGCTAAACAACCATTAGAAGCCATATTTATTTTCCTGCAGTTGCTACTTCTGTTTTGGAGTAGCCACAAAACTGGAAACCAAACCACATTTATTTTTGTCACTTGAAATTTTGCTTGATCCAGTTGCGGGTAATTCTGTTGAAATCCACAACTGTTTGTGGGACACTGCAGTGTGCAATTGGTTGCAACGTTTCACCCACAAAAATACAATCAATTAATTTTACATTATATTCTGTGAAACGCTTTGAGACATTTAGAAGACGTCTTTATAATTCAGAAGGTTGTGGGTTCACGCCATAAATCAGGACTCCGAACTCAATCTCGACTGATTCAGCGCTGGGAAGTGCTGTATTGTTGGAAATGCCGTCCTTCAGGTGAAATGTTACAGCTACGTCTGGGCTGGCCATTCAGGTGGTCATTAAAGATCCATTGGCAATATTCCAAACGAGAAAGGAGTTTTTCAGTGTTCTGGCCAGTGATCCCCAAATAAAATTGGGTTATTTCACTTCATGGCTGTTTATGAAGCATTTCTGTGTGCAGAAA